CTTCTTTTGTGGTTTTGGGAGGTGGGGTGGGGTGGTTTAGGGGGGGGGGGTAGAAGAAAAGGAAGGGAAGAGGAAGGTGAAGTGGAGACTATGAAGTCCACATGCAAGAAAGTGGAAATTTTTGTAAGAAAAATAAAAAAAAAGTTGAAAAAACGAGTGAAATTTATTGGTACATTTATTATTTTCTTGCATTTGCAGCCTCCAACTTATTCCAATTTATTGTTCTCCTTTCCACCAGCCCCTATTTAATTTGTTAGATTTTATTATGGTACTAATAATTCTTCCTTTCCTTTTCCTCTTCTTTATGTTTAGTTGATTTTACTCGGTGTTTTTGATATTTATATTAGAGTTTGTAATGTTTATATTGAGAAATAAAATATATTCAAACTCCATACGAATGTGGTTTTATATAATAGTATTCGAGAATATTGGTTGATAATCAAATCGTCACAATACTTAAAGAAGTCGTTTGTCTGCTGACTAGAGTTATATACGTAATTCTTAGTAAAACAATGATTAGTTATGAAGATGTATCACCTTCGTTTCAGTTTGTTTGTTTGTTTGAAAATGAATGTGTCTTTCCCTTTTCAACAATTTTATAAAATTTGATTTTTCATGTGACATTTTTAAGATTATAAGACTAAAAGATATTCTAGTATAGGAAAAAGAGGGATGAATATACCTCTGAATTATCGTAAATGATATGCAGATGCTCTCCGTCATACTTTTAGGGCATTTATGCCCTTACCATCCAAAAACCCAAGGGCATATATGCTCTAGTTTTTGGACGATAAGAGCACCAATGTCTCAAAAGTATGATGAAGGGTATCTGTATATCACTTACGATCTTAAATTTCGAGCTAATAAAAATAAAATATAGAGACTATTAATTTAGTACATGTATTAGTTATACAAAATTTAGTTATTCATATGTATTAGTTATTTCACTTTTTATTTTATATAACTCCTAATAAATATCAAATGTGATATTACTTATAAAATATTTAATATTAACATAACTTACTTTCAAATCAACTACCAAACTATTACCTTTATTTGATTTCAAATCTTTAATTAATGCTATTTTTTTTCTTTTAGAAAAGTGGTATGTAAAATCATCATCTTTATTATATTTCCTTTTTTATACCACCTTTAGTCAAAAGAGTCAAACAAAAGAAAATTTATTTGTCAAGTGAAAGAGCTGGTCCAATATCATCAAGTTTGTACTTATTCTTTTCTGACCATATTTATATAATTAATAAGTAATAAAAAGAGTTCTCATTTACACAAAAAAAGGCAAAAAATCATATTAAAGGAGAAGATATATTTGTTTGATGGAAGACATTTAAAATTTTGATTACAAATTTGACACAACAAGAAATTATACTTAAATAAATTTCTTTCTTTTTTTAGTCATTGAATGATTTTCAATAAATTACATCTACAGCTAATAATTACCAACCTTGAGTAATAAAATATTTTATTAATTTAAATACAATGCAAACTTTTTTGAAGATTTTATTATAATTGTTTTATTAAAAAAATCTCATATTTTTGGGATAAATTGATCCAATAATTATAATTTCGAAATAATTTGATCAGTAAAGCAAATGATAAATTCACATATAAGTTATTTCGAAATTATAATTCTTAGACTAATATATAAGTATTACCTAAAAAGTGGAAGGAAACAAAACAAATAGGATGGAATAAGACATATTGAGTTGAAATTAAATTTATATTTTATTTTATCAAAATTACAACCTTCTACTAAATAAAATTATTTAAATCTTAAACTTAACCTTTATATATTTCATAACTCAATTTAAAATTAAAATTTATACTTATCTGATTAAACTTATAAATTCATTTTATATACTTTTAGTCAAATAAAACATAAGATTAACCTCAAACTTGATTCTAAGAGAAAGTTTTCCAAAGAAAAACTGAAGACATTCGATGGTTTCAATTTTCTCAAATTTTTCTATCGGCTCTTCTCTTCAACGAATCTAATTTTTTCGAATCATTATATAAAAAATAAAAATGAATTAGTTTCATAAGTAGACATAATTCAAGGAACCAAACAATCCCGCAATAATTTCATCTATCCCAATCCATGTAAAGAAATTTTAAAATTTGAGATGCAAGAAGTAGAAAATAGTTTGAAATTTGGGACTAAAAAGGAAATATAGATAAGTAGAGGGGGCAAAAGAAAATATATAGAGATTAGTCTCAATCATTATAGATGACCACGCGGAGAAAATAGCTAATTACTGTTTTGACCTTCGGGTCAAATTTTTGGGACCCATTTACGACAGTAACATGACCCACCCACTTAACTTGGTTTGACCCGACTCCTCCTTTTTAACCTATTTTTTCTTACTTTTCATATTCTTTAATTATTATTTTTAAAAAAAAGACTTAAATGTTGAAAGGAATCTTCTTTAACTTATAGGGACTAACAACAATATAGTACTATACTATAAATTTTTGAGCTCGAGAAAATGAACATTATATATATATATATTATATACTCCAAAAAGATAGATTATTATTTTTTATTTTCCGCCTATATGTTTGGTACCTCAATTATAGCTCGATTAATTATGAATTGAAATAGGAAAGTCTTATATTGGTGATAGACATTTTCTAACAAAGGCAATTATAAATTTTGGGAATTTAAGTTTGATATTTTTAATTAAGAATGAAGAAATATTTATCACTTTATCACACCTCTGATAGACTAAAAGATGATTTCGTTAAGTGTTGCTTTTGAATAACAAAATTTTAAAATAATATTTGTGTCTTGAGAATGCAAACAAGTTTTACTACTTTGATTCTAAGATTAAAAAGTAATGATGTTTAGCAGCTTTTAAGAAAAAAAATTAAGGGTCCGTTTGGTCTTGGATAGTGTCACTTTTTATTTTGAAAAAACGTTTAAACATAAAGAGAAATACTATTTTGTATTATATAGTACTATATAATATAATATCAATTTAATATAATTAAATGAAATTGGAATCTTGAAACATTTTGTATAAATTAATTAGAGTGTACTAAAAAAACAAAAACTAGAGTAGGCTTTGAAGTATTCAACAATTTCATTATCCACTCTAGTTTATTGTTTCTTGAGATATACTTTGATGTTTTATAATAACAAGAGTTGAAGGAGCTATTATGATTATACACTTAAATAAACCAATTTTTGATTATTTTTTTGGAGTTCTTTTTAATTACTCGATAGTTATTAGCCTAATTTAAATTTGCATTCTTCGTTAAAGTGGAAATATCCTCTGTTAATAATTTTTCTATTTACAAGATTCAAACTTAATATTTCTTGAGATGTATGATGTTCAAGTTTGTCAAAATAACATTATTTGGGAATCAATTAATATTTTATTTACTTATATAGTTTTCTTACATAAAAGTTGAACGAAAAAGGAAATGAACATTATTTTTAGTCTTTCTTCATGTGTGAATCCAAATGACTTAAAAAGTGAGGATTTTTAGTACTTATATTTTCTTATATTCCATGATTGTAAAGAAAATAATTGTTTTCATAAGCTAGAATTTATGGACTTTTTATAGCTTAGTGTTTGTGGCAATTCTCTAAGTAATAGTGATAGGAAATCATGAATGATTGAATTAAATCATAATGGGGTCAAAAATTGCATGTGTGATTAAGAAGAAATGCAATTTTGTGAAAAAAGGCAAAATATTTGGAAAGAGACATAATTAGGCCTTATGCATCTTTGAATATACAATATTTTCTATTAAGAAAGTGATAGAAAGTAATAAGAAAGTGATTGAACTTATGTAATTACTACTTTGATAGGTCAAAAATGAAATCCAACCTAACTAGGTCTGAACAACTTTGTATATAGTAAACATAAAAAAAATTATATTTGTATGTTATAACTATAATTTGTATAACTGTGCTTCATAGCAAATTTTATGTTTGCTATGGCTATTTAGTTGCACATGTATACAAAAGAAACAATCATATGATCTATTTCGGTATACATATACAAAAAAATCAATTGTATAATTTCTGTTTGTATAAAGCGAGAAAGAGAGAAAGACAAAAAAATTGGGCAAGGAAATATCATATTTGTATATATGCATTTGTATTTTTGTGTATACAATTTTCTCTCGTTTTATACAAACACAAACACAATGTACACATTTGTGTTTGTATAAAGTGAGAGAGTCAAGTGGCAGTGCCGAGCGAGATTTGAGAGAGGGGAACGAAAATATATGTATTATACAATTTCTTTCGCTTTATACAAACAAAAATACATTTTATACATTTGTGTTTATATAAAAGCGAAAGAGGCAAGCGAAACTGTCCATCGAGAAAGACAGCAGCGAGAGAAATTCACCAAGGATAGAAATGTAATAACAATATTTTTTTGCGAAATACACTTAAATCAAAATATAATTATAATTTAATTTAAATTAAATTAATAATTAGCAATTATATATAATTATCCCTATTTTGATCGTAGGCCTAATACCTAACTTTAGGTAGTTCAATATGAAAGCCCAATATGTATCCCAACTTTCCACAAAAAAAAATTATATATTTATAATATATAATATGTAATATAATTTTATATATATTCAACTAACGAATGTAACATTTTAATCATTAATCAAATATGTATGACCATTTTACATAAACAACACATATTACCTTCATAATTACCATTTATAGTACTATCATATAATATATAATACATTTTACCATTTATAACATTCTGGCTTCCTCTCTCCAATCTTTTTTTTTCCAATTCTAGCGCTTTAATTTATTAACCGAACAAAAAATAATGTTATTTTGAAATTTCTTTTACAAATCTATTATAAGCTTATTAACTAAAATATTTCTCTTTTCCATTTATAGTAATATAATATATTATATCATATTTCTCTTCAGTAAAACTCTATTATAAAAAATTTCTCTTCAGTAAAACTCTATTATAAAAAAGCTAAATTTGTTGAATAAAGATATCTAAATCCTAAATTAAGTAGACAACTCTATTATAAAAGATTTAAATCGTCATAATATACATATGAAAATTTTAACCTATTGAATAGAGTCCAAATTTTAGTTTTCATCAACAATTTCTCTCTCGTTCAGAAGGGAACCCCTAGTGATTGCTGAGTTCTTCTCATATAATTGGTGAGTTTTTAGCTTTTTCGATGTTTTTTTGGGTTAAAAATGGAGTCTTTTTAAATTAATTTATGCTTTTTTGGGAAGAGTTTTGAGTTATATAATTTTGCTTGTATGTATTAAATCCTTTTAGTTCTTGTTGTATTTTGCTTATGAAATTTTGAGAAAAGAAAAAGAGGTTGATTTGGATGAAATTTTGGTTTAACAGATAGTCACAGAATTTATGGAAAAGAAGATGAAAAAGGGGGAAAAGATTTGTTTTTTCCTCTGAAAACCAAATTAAAAGGTAGATTTTAAGAGGGGATAATGAAATCTTGGAGTATAAAGTATAAAAGATTTGCTTTTTACTGCTATAAGCTGTGATACCAATTCTTATTTTGTGATTATTATTTTTTTTGACTTATTAGGTGATCATGATACTTGATTTTTTCACATGGTTGGGTTCACTAGTTGAAACAATATGTAAAGGTAGTAATGTTGTTGATGATGATGATAATCGTTTCGAACGTTTGCCTGATTGTCTGGTGATTGATATTCTTAGTAGACTTCCATCACATTCTTTTCTTAGATGTCGATGGGTTTGTAGGCATTGGAGAGCCTTATTAGTCTCATCACAACACTCTTTTACCAATATACATCATCTATCTAGACATACTACACCTATGTTTATCATACATGAAGATTTAGCCAAATATGATGCCAAAAGTGATTTCGCAAAGCATGGACAAGATGTTTTTGTTTACAATGAAAACAAGAAGATTAAGAAAAAAAAGAAGGTTGTGTTTGAGAAACTTCATCTCAAACCTGAGCTTAAGATTAATAAGGACAAACCTTATCTTTTATATTCTTGTGAAGGAGTACTTATGTTTGTTTCCTCCAAGTGGAAATCTACTTATTATATTGTCAACCCTATAACACAAGAAGAATTGACAGTACGATATACACCTGGTGAAGTTTTCGTATGTGCTCTGTATTTTTGTCCCTACACAAGACAATTCAGAGTTCTTATTGCACAACTACAAGATACTTGTTGTACATATTTCGTACATATTGTAAAGATATGGAAGTGTGAGAAAATTCATTCGTCAATCTCCTTCAACTTTTTGCCAAATAGTTTCAATCCTGTTGTTGTTAATGGAGCATTGCATTGGATCACGTTACACGATTTAAAAAGGAAAGGCGTTGCTCCTTGTGAAAACGGAATTATGGTTTTCAGAATGGATAAAGAAGAGTTGTTTACTATGCCTCATCCTCCTGTAAGTAAGGTTTGTAAGTCAAATCAAGATCATTTAGCTATGAAACTTATGGTGAAGGATGATCATTTGTGTTTATGTAACATGATTCTCCCATGGTATATTGTGGATATGTGGTGGTTGGAGGACTATGAGACGCGGTCATGGATCAAAAGGTATAAGATTAATCTCTTAAATGAGAGGATTTTCCCTTTTAGTAAGCGTCTCAGTGAAAGGGAAATTAGACACAGGCATGCTTGGAATGTAAAGTTTTTGTACCTCCAAGAAGGTGGACTTTTGATTTACTTGATTCACTTTTATGGTGAGGAGATATATCTTTATAATTTAGATCGTAGAACAGTAAAGAAACTTGAATTGCCGCGAGAAAAATTGTTGGCCTCTCGTGAATGGGCTCTTTATCACAAGAGTTTTATGGCAATAGTCTAATAGGTAGTGTTTCTCCTACAATTGTAAGGTTTTCAGTTTTGAATCTAATAAACAATTTGAATATTTTGATGAGATGGTTACATAATGCGTCAATTGGTATATCGTTGTTATTGCCACACACTTTAACAGACAAGAGTCTACAAATGGCAATGCTGCAATCCGTGATGAAATTTAGGGTAAAAACAATCAGCATAGAGCCCAAAAGTACCATAGCTGTCGTTCACATGGTAAGTCTAAAGCACAACCAATTATCTTTAAGAAATCAGAGAAAGTATACAACTATATATGTACTGCTCCACTTGAATTGTCTCATAATATCTTGAAAAAGCACTTACTCTTTATTGTATAGATATCTTCTACACTGACTTAAACTACTCTTCAACAATTTATTCTGTTCGACAATGGAGACAAAAAAAATGTCATTAACACCTACAGTTTTATTTTCTTCAATTTTAGTTTTTAAGATTGTGTCAAGCAGAATATGCAAATTTACATATTTCTTAGACTGACTGGCCTCAGAGAAATCAAAATATTTTCCATTGCAACCTGACCTTCAATCGAACGCCTACAAATTCCATGTATAAAACAGCCAAGCAATGCATAAAGGGAATCAGAAAATTGATGAAAGCACAAGTGCTAATCCAAACCTAATGATGGGTTGAAGCTCTTACATTCTATTTCCATAAGTAAATTTTACTTTACGCCTACAATTTACAACAAAAGTGACATTAGATATGTTCCAAATATTCAATAATATTCGTCATGAAAGATTTGAGAGAATATTTGTGTGTCATTAAGTTTTTGCATAAAGATGGTGATGTAAATGTGGCTTTTATGGTGAATTCCAAATTTACGATGGACGACTCTTTAATTATTGAATCAAATTAGCTCATTTACAGAAACTACGGGATATTACAAAACTGCAAGTATAGATGGGTGATTTGTAGTTCAAACCTAAGAGAACTGTACTCGTAAATTTGTTTGGACTACTGAGACTCCAGGAGGATATATATTTGATACAACTAGTAGTTGTTTTGAGTCAAACATGCTAAAAAAACGGACCCTAATATGGTGTCAATCATTAGAGTGAACATAAACTAGCTGAAAGATAGTAAGAAGCAGAAACCTTGCAACCGAAAGTCCAATATTGAGTCATTAAATTAAGCTCTAGAACAGTAGAATGAAGCAGCAAGTAGAGATAAGAAATAAACCTGTTACATTGGAATAGCACCGGACACATCTAGTTTCATACGTCAAGGAAGATTCCCTCTGTTGGAAACGAGACATGTTTTGCAAGCCATAAACATTCACATGTCATCCAACAATTGCTACTGCTAAACAGTTCCAACAAGGGAGCTGGTTGTGTATAAGTTCCAACACGAGTATGTTCCTGATAACTTGCACCTCTAGGATCCCAGCATTTCAAGGTTTCATCCCAGCTACTAGTTATCACTTGCCTTATTCCATTCAAGAAAATCACATAATTGTACTGGAGCTAACTTTCAAAACATACCGACTCTAAGCTGAAATAATAGAATGCCATTGTTGAGATTTCTAATCAACATATCATAGGGCTCACATAATCATCAACGACTAAAATACATAGGTTGGACCAATTTTGAAGAGGAAAATCAATGACTAACAATATTTTGAAGAGTTTGGTGATCCATTTACAAAAAGGAAAGACAGGTGAACATGCACCTTCTTTAACCAGCCATGCTAAAATTGAGTCGGGACTGATGTGATTGAATTTCCGATGCAGAAACTTCTATAAAGCCACCAATATGTTTCACATACAATCCTCTTTTGGAATGTTTAACCTTGGCTTTCGTTAAAGCTCAACAAGCCAAAAATAAAATCCGAGTAACTAATTGCTAAAGTAAAGTAGATAACATATCACTAATCATTTTTGGTAGCTTAACAATGGGGAACATATTGAACAGAATCAGAAATATAAGAGTTGAATAGCGAAAAGATGCAATGTTCACCAAAACTTACTTAAAAGCTGAAATGCATAAGAATATTTTTTATCTGCTTCTTTGAATCTCCTTATATTTCAAACGAATATACCACTAGCTCATATCTTAGACCAGAATCAAAAAATTTTAATGCCATAAATATTTACACTGACCAGTTGCATATGAGTATTCAACACAGCGAACAGGTGCATGATCATGTCTCCCAATATATCCTCTCTTCCGTCGTTGCAGGGGGGCAAATTTTCCAGCGAGAATGTTATTATAACTGATAGTGTTGAAACAATAACATACTATGCATCAATCAGAAATAACGATATGACATGGATGGTTATGATGACTATTTCTCAACCAAATCACTGAAACTGAATAAACATTATCGCAGTTTCCCCAAACTGAGATCAGATCCTAGAGAAAAGCAATAGAATAAGCATTCACTAATTCACCTAATCAGGATGATTCAACAATGCACTGTATCCAATTAACACAAGGTAAAATAGAAAACACCAACATCATAACTACAGACCTCACTGAAAAACGTCGTGGAAGCAACAATCGAGCACAGGACCTCCGTGCATGAACACTACTCTCAGGAACGAACCGTCTAACAAAATACAAAGCGATTAAACATCAAAAGCTAAAGCAAATGAACTCAGGGATATAGAAATTCAGAAGAGTAACTAACCTTATCCCAAAAGGTGATCGATCGGTCACTGTGGTTGAATATCCCGTACGTCGATTTCGAGATTTTGAGCTGTCCTCCGGCAGACTGCCGCACTGCGCCGTCGTTCATTTGATTTCGCAGGGAGAAAGAGAGGGAGAGAGATTTTGAAACTTGCAAGTTGCAATGCATTTTCAGTACAAAAACAAGAAATAATTCCTAATTTACCCTAGTTATTAGTAGTATTATTCATTTTTTTTAAAAAATATTGAATTAAATATAATGCATTTCAAAAATGTTATACCATAGTAAATTTGTTCTTTTTCTCCCATTTTTAAGTAATTATCAAATTACGTTTTTTCTTCAACTATTGTATATTTTATTTTACTTTGTTATTACTGGACCACATGCGTATAATACTTTCATAACACTCAATTCTTTTAAATAGCATATTCCTATGTAAACAATGATGAATGGAAAAAAATATGGAAAATTAATAAATAAATAAATAAGAAAAAAAAAGATGGTCACATAAAATTATATTTGTTATTCTTATTTATCTTTTTTGAGTTTGCAAAATTTATTTGAGGAATTTGAATGAAAAAAATAATTGGTGTTTGGATTCATGATCAGTAAAATATGATAACATTGTGCTTCTTACACAGAGAATAAAATTGAAACATAAGATGTAAAATGTACATTGAGTAACTAGTACAATAAATAATAGTAGTAAATTGTTAATATTTAGTCAAAAATCCTAATAAATTTGTCAAATTCTAATTTTAAAAAATTGAACATTAGGAGCAAAGAGAAAATTGATTCATAATAAGCGTGTGATCTTATTATACGTATACATTGAAATATATTTTATGCGTACACATTGGAGCAATATTAATAAGTTAAGTCAAACTTATAGAACCTGCTCTAAATTCATCTTCGATAATATTCTAGTTAAAATCGCGAAATATGATTTATTGATAGTGACTTAACAAAACCAATTACAACTTTTGCTGTATTTAGAGCAGCTAAAGATCCAAATAATCTTATTGTGTTATCCCCTTTTTGTGTTCCTGCTAAATCTGATAATCCACGAATTGCAATAACTGGATATCCATTTGACAAACATGTCTGCACAAAAAAAAAAAAAAACTTATATATGCATAAATATTGCAAAAAATATATTTAAATTTAGATTGATTATATATTTTAACATGTTATAATAAGTAACTGTCTTATTTTCAGTGTTACTTATCTACTTTTTATGGACGATTGCACGTAGTTAAAGACAAATAAAGCTGGTATATTATGAGTTTAACTATAGTCGGTGTTTTTCAATCAGCCATCTAATCATATTTTATACCGACGATTTATACAACTTAAACAGGAAAAGCAAGTTACCATTACTACAGCTGAGCTTTCCATGTCAAGTGATGTGACACCAAAAGTATTGAAAAGGAATTGTGTGTAAGCTGCATTGTCAATGAAAAAATTTGAAGTAGCTCCCTTCAATCCAACAACTAGTTTTGGCTTTTCTGGTAGACACAATGTTGAATTTGCACATTGATCAAGATTTATCCCCTGTTAATTTCATCCAAACACATCATAATTATTACATATTGTATCTCCTTTTACAAATTTAAGATCATACTTTGCACGGACTTGTCTCACTAGTACATATATAAATGAAAATCAATATATATATATATGACTATTTTACATAAACAATATATATTACCTTCATAATTACCATTTATAGTAATATCATATAATATATAATACATTTTACCATTTATAACATTCTGGCTTCCTCTCTTCGATGTTTTTTTTTCCAATTCTAGCGCTTTAATTTATTAAACGAACAAAAAATAATATTGTTTTGAAATTTCTTTTACAAATCTATTATAAGCTTATTAACTAAAATATTTCTCTTTTCCATTTATAGTAATATAATATATTATATCATATTTTTCTTCAGTAAAACTCTATTATAAAAAAGCTAAATTAAGTATAATCCATTTATAGTAATATAATATATTATATCATATTTCTCTTCAGTAAAACTCTATTATAAAAAAGCTAAATTAAGTATAATTTGTTGAATAAAGATATCCAAATCCTAAATTAAGTAGACAACTCTATTATAAAAGATTTAAATCGTCATAATATACCTATGAAAATTTTAACCTATTGAATAGAGTCCAAATTTTAGTTTTCATCAACAATTTCTCTCTCGTTCAGAAGGGAACCCTTGTGATTGCTGAGTTCTTCTCATATAATTGGTGAGTTTTTAGCTTTTTCGATGTTTTTTTGGGTTAAAAATTGGAGTCTTTTTAAGTTAATTTATGCTTTTTTGGGAAGAATTTTGAGTTATATACTTTTGCTTGTTTGTATTAAATCCTTTTAGTTCTTGTTGTATTTTGCTTGTAAATTTTGAGAAAAGAAAAAGAGGTTGATTTGGATGAAATTTTGGTTTAACAGATAGTCACAGAATTTATGGAAAAGAAGATGAAAAAGGGGGAAAAGATTTGTTTTTTCCTCTGAAAACCAAATTAAAAGGTAGATTTTAAGAGGGGATAATGAAATCTTGGAGTATAAAGTATAAAAGATTTGCTTTTTACTGCTATAAGCTGTGATACCAATTCTTATTTTGTGATTATTATTTTTTTTGACTTATTAGGTGATCATGATACTTGATTTTTTCACATGGTTGGGTTCACTAGTTGAAACAATATGTAAAGGTAGTAATGTTGTTGATGATGATGATAATCGTTTCGAACGTTTGCCTGATTGTCTGGTGATTGATATTCTTAGTAGACTTCCATCACATTCTTTTCTTAGATGTCGATGGGTTTGTAGGCATTGGAGAGCCTTATTAGTCTCATCACAACACTCTTTTACCAATATACATCATCTATCTAGACATACTACACCTATGTTTATCATACATGAAGATTTAGCCAAATATGATGCCAAAAGTGATTTCGCAAAGCATGGCCAAGATGTTTTTGTTTACAATGAAAACAAGAAGATTAAGAAAAAAAAGAAAGTTATGTTTCAGAAACTTCATCTCAAACCTGAGCTTAGGATTAATAAGGACAAACCTTGTCTTTTATATTCTTGTGAAGGAGTACTTGTGTTTGTTTCCTCCAAGTGGAAATCTACTTATTATATTGTCAACCCTATAACACAAGAAGAATTGACAGTACGATATACACCTGGTGAAGTTTTCGTATGTGCTCTGTATTTTTGTCCCTACACAAGACAATTCAGAGTTCTTATTGCACAACTACAAGATACTTGTTGTACATATTTCGTACATATTGTAAAGATATGGAAGTGTGAGAAAATTCATTCGTCAATCTCCTTCAACTTTTTGCCAAATAGTGGCAACCCAGCTGTTGTTAATGGAGCATTGCATTGGATCACGTTGCACGATTTAAAAAGGAAAGGCATTGCTCCTTGTGAAAACGGAATTATGGTTTTCAGAATGGATAAAGAAGAGTTGTTTACTATGCCTCATCCTCCTGTAAGTAAGGTTTGTAAGTCAAATCAAGATCATTTAGCTATGAAACTTATGGTGAAGGATGATCATTTGTGTTTATGTAACATGATTCTCCCATGGTATATTGTGGATATGTGGTGGTTGGAGGACTATGAGACGCGGTCATGGATCAAAAGGTATAAGATTAATCTCTTAAATGAGAGGATTTTCCCTTTTAGTAAGCGTCTCAGTGAAAGGGAAATTAGACACAGGCATGCTTGGAATGTAAAGTTTTTGTACCTCCAAGAAGGTGGACTTTTGATTTACTTGATTCACTATTATGGTGAGGAGATATATCTTTATAATTTAGATCGTAGAACAGTAAAGAAACTTGAATTGCCGCGAGAAAAATTGTTGGCCTCCTCTCATGAATGGGCTCTTTATCACAAGAGTTTTATGGCAATAGTCTAATAGTAGTGTTTCTCCTACAATTTTACTTTGTAACAATGTAAGGTTTTCAGTTTGAATCTAATAAATGTGTTCCTTCTCTAACAACTCAAATATTATATTTTGATGAGATTAATGCGTCATGTGTAGTGGAAAAGTATCTTTCACTGGCCCTTTTGCTGGATTATTTTATGTATATCATTGTTATTATTACACGCTTTAACATTAGGGCTGTTTAGAATCGATTCGAAATCGATAATTCAAATCGAAAAAAAGTTATTGATTTAGCGGTTTAGATTTTTTTTGTTATTGGGATATCGATTCTTAATGGGTTGGGTTTTTTTCTTAACGAATTAACCAATAACTCGATAGTAAATTAAATAATTATATTTATACCATTTTGTATGTAAAGTTCTTGACTTAGAGTTTGATTTCCTACTTTATTTTTATTTGTCTCAAACACTTGGTTATTCTACAATATAAAAATGTCTACTTTTGAACATAATGTAATTTGTGAACTCGTGTGCATGATTTATTTGGATCGTCATCTTGTTTTTAAGTTGATACCATCCCATACAATCAAGCTATGACAATCTTGTGTTAATATAATAATGGTTCATGCCTTATTTTACTTATGTGTAATTATATATTTTCAATGCATTAATTTCTGTTTAACTCAAACATATTGGAAGTAGTTGATTATTAAACATACATCATCAAATTTTCTTTTTTTCATATTGAATTGCTTTAAACATTTCGTATTTAACTCAAATATATTGGAAGTAGTTGATTATTAAACATACATCATCAAATTTGCTTTTTTTTTCATATTGAATTGCTTTAAACATTTCGTGTTTAACTCAAACATATTCGAAGTAGTTGATTATTATTAAACATACATCATATGTAGACGAAAAGAAGTTTTTTTTTATTATGAAAAACAAAACAAAAAAGTATTACTATACACCAAATTAATTTCTACTTTATTATTTATATTCATCAAATTTAAAGTACTAATAAATTATATATTTACGAGAATTATAAATGTTAAAAAGTAATGATATGACTATAAATTTTATTTGCATACGAAATAAATGATTTGTGTATAAAAAAATGTGGTATTGTTTTAACAAAATATAAACTCCTAGGTTAATTTTTGTATTTAAAAATCCCAAATCATGATAAGAAATTTCCAAATCATGATTTTTAAATAATATGAGATTATCATGAGATGGAATCAACGAGAAATCGACGATGATTCCATCTCACGATAATGATATGATATTGTATGGTCAAATGTCTACTTAATCTATATATATTAAAAATAATATTATACAAAAAAATATTATGTTTGATACCCACATTGGAGTCTAAATATTCTAGATTCGTGCCGAATAAAACTTCATTTTAGTAAAGGAAAGTACTACTCTTTTGGTAGTATATCAAAACTTACGATTGAAATTTCATATTTGAAGTCTGAAAAGGATATAGTATACGTAAACCAGATTGGAAACGAATATTAACTTCCTTTTCTATATGCAAATAAAATAATTCCAAATAAATCTTTTTTTATTTTGAAAGTGCTTGCTTAATTACAGTTATACCCACGATTTGTTGATTAAATATCAAACCTACCCATAAATCAACCGAAGAGAAAAGCGCCACTACACAAAACTGCAAAAACCGCCTCTTTCACTTGAACAACAGCAGCAGCAGCAGCAGCAGCTATGGGGAAAAGCGATGATTCCATTCAGAGAAGGAAGAATAAGAAGAGTAGAAAGAAGCAAGATGACAAGGTATCTAATCGTATCGCTGGAATCATTGCTGCTAAGAAACGTCGACTCTCCGGCAAACGCCGTATGTGTGAGGTAAATTTCACATTATATGAACTCATTTGGTCCATTTGGGTGTTGGGTTTGTTGATTTTTATTGTGAGATTTCGTTGAGTATCTGGGTATGTTGTATTGACAAATGGGTGTCGAGAAAAGATTATGGAAGTTGTGTGTTTTGAGAAGTTTTATTTTGTAAAGCTGAAGAGAGGGATTTGAGGAAGAAAGAGGAAGATTAAGGTTTTGGTGTGTTGTAATGGTGTTTTGAGGAACTGGGTATTCGTTATTTGTATGCAAAAGTAGTGTTTTGAGTAGCTTTTTTTTGTGAAGCTGTTAATGGTAAAAGGTGGAAGATTTTCGTTTTGGTATATTCAAATGGAGTTTTAAGGAATTGGGTATTCTTTATTTGTTTTCAAAATTAGTGTCTTGAGTAGTTCTTTTTTGTGAAGTTGTCAAATGTGAGGAAAGTTATTGTTTTCTTTGTTGCGTAGGAATTGAGAAATGTTTTGGAATTCATTTACTTAGTATGATCTTGTTGGTGGTGTATCTTTATGGAAGTGCATTTGTTTGATTATTGAATACTCCATGTCTTATTCATTCATGTATGCTCATACCAGTTACCATCGAAGTTTTGCACTTCTTTTTTCGTCATGTGAAACTGCCAAGAGGAAAATGCAGGACTTAGATTAAGTGGTATTGGAATGGATCTATACATTTATATATATATATGACTCCTATATTAATTTGTCGCAACCAGCCTAATGGGGCTAATTTGCGTTGTGTTAATTTTGCTGTTTTTTCTTACCTTCCATCGACAGGGAATGTGCTATAGTTTACCTACACCTGAGGATCCATTCAATGAGAGGCATGGAAAAGTTGATCCTGTAAAGAAGAAGAAGAAGAAGCAGAACCAGTCGAAAAAGGGCAAGAACCCTATTAAGAAGACCGGTTTACCACAAAATTCTGACAAATTAAAGGAAGAGTTCCACATGCATGCTCCATCTAAGTTCTTAATTCTCTGTTTGAAAAACATTCAGGATGACCTTCAGCAGGATGGAGCCTTCAGTGGTAGAGAGGAAAAGCCTTTCTTCATCCATACATGGGGAATTGAATTCTGGAAATATTTTACCAGTGGCAAAGATATTATTGGTACAAATCAAGCCCATGCTACAACTGAGCAAATTGCTTGGGTTGCAGCAACAACTGCTGATGCCATATCAAGAAAGGAGAAAGAAGGTCTATCAATTAGCAACCCCTACCTTTTATTCCTTGTTCCCTCCCAAGAGAAAGCTGTCAAGGTTGGTGCAATATTCTCCAAATTTTCTCTGCTTCCATTGTTTGTAATATGTTCAACACAACATTGTGAAAGTTGTATTGATTTCTAATGGTATGGTTGCAAAATAATACGTAGCTATTTTCTTAAGCTAGTTGGACTTCTGATAGAAAGTATTTCAGCTGAAAGTCTTGATTTTTGGATAAAAGGTCCTTAGAATATCTTGTGTTGTACAGAATTTCTTTATGCATCTCCTACTTCTTTTAGTAAATTAATTAATAATCCAGAACAGTTTATCCTTCTCCGTGCATGTATTCTTCCTGTGCTTACATTATAATTTAGATAGATGTTCACTAAGCTGTAAGTTCATGTGTGAAAATTATATGGATATCTACATGTATCCTTCTACGCCTTGTGGTATCTTAATAAGCATTTCAATTGTTCATTAGGTGCGGAAAATATGCAAGCCTCTGAAAGCTCTTGGAATACATACAGTGAGTCTGCATCCTGGTGCTTCTATAGACCACCAGATTCAGGGGTATGATTCCCCTGTAACTTCTCTATAATTGAGGCTATTAGTCCTCAAAGTTGATTTATTTGTCTTTCTTGAAAGATGATAATTATTTTTTTTCAGAACCTTGACTTATTGCTAACTTTCCCTGTTTAGCATATGATTTGTTCTGTTAATAACAAGATGTAGTTATTATTATGATAGATAAATAACTTCGTGTATGTGTCATTAGCTTTCCATGTTGTATTGGCTCTAGTTGCAATTAGAAACTACTTGTGTGCTTTCCAGCCTTCTGTTTTCTTTTGAAGAAATTCACTATCTTCCCTGTTTTTATATGATTACACTTTTTGTTGACAGCCTGAAGAACTGTGAGCCCGAATTTCTTATTTCTACTCCTGAAAGACTTCAAGAACTCCTCTCACATGGTGCCATTAAAACTTCTGATGTTTCTTTCCTGGTAATTTTGATTATTTTGCATTTTGCTTATGTATTAATTTTATCTTGGATCTTTTGTCCTTCTATCACTGTTTTCGTATTTAAATAATAGGAGGGAAAGGTTGAAACTGGTTTACTGTGCTCTCTAGTTAACACAAGAAGTCCTCTTTTTTCCATTTCCACACGATTTCTAATTTAAAAAATTTTGCTTTGTTATTTTGGCAAAAGTTAGTGCCTAGCAATTTTCTTATTGTCTTCTCTGTAAGGGGAAAAAAGAGAAACAGTTTATCCTCACAATGGGGTAAGCTTCAAGAAAGCAAAAGGAATTGCAGTAACAAATTGAAATAAGAACAGGTAAGTGCAAGAACCACAAACTGGCATATAGCTAAAGTAGAACGGATCTGGATAGAAAGCAGAATTTGGATAAGGTTTTCCCTGTAAATAGCGAGACAAACTGGCACTCAAATTACGTATTGCTCTGTGGAAAACAAGTAAAGGAAAACTAATATAAGTATACAATACATATTTTCCATTTTTAGTGGGTGGAGAAAATGGAAGGTTTTGAAAGTTTTTCTAAGCGACACCAATCAGGTTTAAGGGCCTCTTTGATTTGGCGAGTCTGCCTGATTTCATTTAAGTTACATTTTCAGTTAACCACATAACTTTTTAGGTGAAAGTAATTGATATTAAATTAGTTATTCTACAATCACTTGTTTCAATAATCAGAATCAAATTTACATGCAAACCAAACAGGCTCTTCATTGGGAACTTAATATCCCTCGTGGAATATCCAGGTTAAAGGCTAGGATTATGGTGGCAGTCTCCAAATGATAGGCATAGATGTGACTCTCACAATTCCTCTTCTCCTTTCCAGTCCCTACATGATAAAATATCGAAAAACAAAAAATTTCTGTAGGTCTCTTTCTCCTCTCTCGTTTGGTTTATTTCCAATTCTATGGTTGGCATTACTCTGATTTCCTCTTTCTGTTAAACTTTGATGTTTTCTTGTTATGATCCATTCAGAGTTTTCAACATTTTCGCTTGATTTTTTTCTTTTCTAATTGTGGACAGAGCATTTGGGTCCTGCCTTGTATACTGGTTTTTTAAAAAAGTTGTATCTTGCCTTTCATGTAATGGAGCTAGCATATCTTCTTTTGTACTCTTTGCATCTTCTTGATGCCGATAATGAAACAACTTACTTCATCAAAAAAAAAAAAAGTTGAATCTTGCCTTGTAATTGAGATTATTCATTGTTATCTCTTGTGGAGAAATTTAGGATGTTATACTTTTGGCAGTTATGCCACTATCATGTATTCTCTTATTTGATTATATGGTCCAGTCAGACTGGGGTTTCGAGGTTATATTCATGATCTCTGAGATGGATATGCAAGATGTATATATGTCATTTACGTCACTAGCATCATGTGTTCCGAACCATTCAGAGATTACTCATGGTAGTCTTTGTATTTCAGGTCATCGATGGACCTCTTTCTGAGACAGGTTATGTTGATGCGGTTGAATCCATTGCAAAATCTATTTCTGGAAAGCCACAAATACTGGCTTTCAATGATTGCTCAAATTCTTCATCCAATTTTCTTATGAAGAAGAGTGTTGGAGAATCAATCTGTAGAATACCGCTTGATGATCCAGTAAATGATCATAACATGGCTTGAGATATTTGTGCTTCTAAGTTGTCAATGGTATGTCACTATCTCTGAAACGTAAATTCTGCACTTCAGATTTTAGAGTGGAATACATTAGTCAGTTAATATATAAGCTGTCGTTTTGGTTTGTTTAATTTTGCAAACACTCTTTTTACTGTGATCTTTGGGTGCAAGAAGTTATCTACTTGTAATTTCCAACTTAATGAGAATTTGGATAGTAGCAACTTTATAGTCCTCCATGCCCATCTAACTTTACAGAACTTGTGAAAAATTGAGTTTGCTCTATGTTGTTCCCAGAGCTGCCTAATTACCTAAGCTAGCTGTCTTAATGACCGAGGGTACATCGGAGACAACCTCCAAGGTAGGGATAAGGTCTGTGTACATCCCCTCCTCAGACCCCACACGTGCGACTGTACTGGGTATGTCTTTGTTGTAGTTGTCTTAATGAATGGCTTGTAAGTTGTGATATTGGTTCAATACGAGTTATATTTGAAGTTTTGAACCTTAACAGAGGATAACTGGTAAGATAAACAAATTCAATAAGATAAGGACAAATGCAAGGAAAAAGGAAAAGAGAAAGATGGTTAAAAATATAGCAGCACCTGCACTCACCACTAGTCAAGCAGACAAGCAGTACTGATCTTTTGGCTTCACAATATAGCAGCTCCTTTGCCCCGAAAATAGTCTAGTTTGAAGGTAGAAGCAGCTAGATAGACTAGTGTAATCTATTTTACGATCGTGCTATGCAAGCAGAACATAAATATGCCAATGGATCGGCAAAAACAGTAGTTGTAGGTATCTATTAGATCTTTCTGTTATAGCTTTAAAGTACTTTTGAGTTGAGGGTAAATTTTCCTTACTTTTGACGAATGTTTTCCTTTTTATGTTCAACTTCTCGTTCATATAATCTGATATTTGCCTCCCCACTTCTTTCCACAGACAAACGCGACATGCTGTCCTTGCAGTTGATTTGCCTTATCATCGTTACAGATCCTCTGGCGTCATTCAACTTAATAGAAGAAAGTTCTGTAATTGTAAACTTCTTCCATATCACCGGTGCAGCTACGTGCTGCTACTTTTCACATTGTCTGCAAAATTCTTTGTTATACAGTAGATGTATTCGAGATATCTTAGATAAAAGGTTCTCAATGTTGTGTTAGGAGAGGAAGTTAATTGTAACCCCATATGGTCTGTTGTGTTCTGGGAATAGCCCAACTGGATAATTGCAGGAGATGCATATAACCCCTTTTTTACTATTTGAAATCTTTTGTTAGTTTCTTATATCATCTCTTTTTTCGTCTATTTCTTCGAGCTTTGCTCATGAGGGAACGTAAATGTTTTCCATGGACAATGTTTTACGTAAATCTTTTAGCGCTTTCGTGTAGGATTGAAATTCACAATTTTTTTAAAGTTTAGCAGAGTCTGGATCAAACCTCAGGCTCAAGGAGTACAGGAAGTTGGAATTTATCAAAATTAGTGAATATTTCGTGGAATTAGTCGAGGCGTATGAATATCTTCTGAGCAATTGAATTTTGTTTTCATTTCAGACTATAAGAAAAACGAATTGCCAAATGTACTAGTACTACTTTTTGTTTTAATAAGTAAAACTTTAATATTTTGAGTATTTTATTTCGACTATATGAAAAAAAAAAAAAGAATAGAGTTTGATGCAAATGAATCTTGTGACAATATGTGGATAAATATGTGTCACTATTTTAGTTGGTGATAACTTTTTTTATTAAGATTGAAATGAGAATAGATGTCTATTATTTTAAATATAAAAATTCAATATTATTTTTAAACACATTAAAAAAAGAAAATGTAAATATAAATTGATCAGACATTGTAATTTTTAGTCAAATGAATTATTCTCATTTTTTCACGAATATTGTAAGATGTATATTTCTATTTTTAAAATTTTTTGAGTTTTATCATTTAAATTCTTTACGTTCTTCATATTTTTTCCTATGTATTAATTAAATATCATCATCTTTTGCTATCTCTGACCAACTTTTCAAGTAAAATAATTGTATGATAAAATACTATTCTCGATAAGCTATCTATAAGCATTATGGTTAGATCGATCCATCGAAGGAGGCTCAACCTACCGAGAGAATGGTGTTATGAATTTGATATTTTAGTCCTTTAATGTTAATGATTTCTTAAATTAGGTTACGATGTAATAATTCTCATTTTTCATGTCGATAATTTTGGTTAGATATTTCTTGTATTAAAATTATAGAAGAGGGAGACCTCGTGAACATTATTAACAAGAATCTCGTGAAATGAAAAGACCAAGACTTCTTATAAGTTGTACATTAATTTTTAATTTTAATATAAAGTCGTTACTCGTTTTTATTATTAATTTTAGTTATCGTTTTAGTTTTAAATTAGTTTGTCATATCTTTAACATAAAAAGAAATATATACGATATTTAAGAAAATGAGAAACCTATAAAAATGACTCAATTGATGTAACAGGTGATATTTCAATAAAAGGTCAAAATATTAGCGAATTGTTTATAGTTTCCATATGTTCTCTTCATTTTTAAATACTTGTTATTTAAGATATGGGAGACAGGTAATAAACAAAAATTAAAGAATATATAAGGAATAAATTAGACAAATTACTCATTTTTATTAATAATTTTTTAAAAGCCGTGTAGATACTAAAGCATAATAATATTAGTATAAAGACAAAAATTAGCAAGTGGGTGAATTATTAATTCTAATTATATTGCGCTTACTAATCCCAATTAAGATGTATATTTAATTTAACAACCTCTTGTTTTTGAAAAGGGTATAATATTTTTTACTTAAGTTATTAATAGTCTTCTGATTCAAAGATTGATAAATTCTTTAAATTATATTAAAAGCTAAACAACGTGATTTTTCTCTAGTTTTTGACTTTGCTTTTTTTTTTAAAAAAAAAAAGTAATTATTTTAAAATAAGTTACTCATAACTCAGTGACAGCTAACAAAATTTTGATTAATAAATATTATATCAAAATGAAATACTTTTGAAATTTTTTATGGTATTGGTGATGGTTAGAGGTAGTGATTATAGGTGTTGATCGAGAATTGTATTGATTATTTGTTGCGTTGTGAATAACAAATTAACAGCTAAGGGTAATGATAGCTGACAGTAACGATTGATGGTGATAGTTGATGATTGTGAGTTATATTTACGCTGTGATAGTTAATAATGAAAGTGAATGATGACTTGATCAGTACTATATAGTGACGATTAATGGTGGAGATTGTCGATAGTGATTGATGGTTATAGTGATGTGGGTGATTCGTAATGCTGACCGTAAATAATAACTATAATGGCAAAAAAGGCTAATTTGGTGATTGACAACGGTGATAGCTATAATATGGCCCAAGACGTTTGGTGATTGTTGATAATAATGGCTAACGGCAAACACTAATAGTTCATTCTAGTGTGAAGAGTTATAACTAGATGCAATTTATTTTTTTAACAAAAATTTTCATGATCATATCTTAATCATTAAAATTTATTAAGTGCTTTTAACATATAAAACAAACACATTCAATAGTTAAGATGAACAAGTAATATTCAAAGCTAAAAATTAAATGACTTTAATGATCGAAATTTAAATTACTAGAATTAAGATTTTCATTAGACGTAAACAAACGAAAGTTACATTAAGATAGAATGTGACCAATTAAATGTTTGAAAGGTACCTTCTATAGAGTTAAAAGAAAGCAAAATCAGAATTAATTTTTCTGAGAAACTTATAATATAATTTTTGGCTCACAACCACAAGAATTTATATTAAAAAAACATTAAAAATTAAACAAATAAATAAAATAAGTTTGCACACTGAAAATTCCACTGGAATATGACTGTAGAAGCTAATTTTGACTTGCTTTGGCTATACGTGATTGAATTAACTTTTTGTGATATATAAAAAATTTATATTGTTATTAGGCTATAATTTTCAGTTTCGGAAATATGATGTTGGTTAAGAAAATTCAAAATATAAAAATTAAATACATAAAAAAGTTAAAAGAATTCAAAATTTGTTATATATATGTACACAAATAACTTAATCTCCTATAAATAATGTTATTTTACATCGAAGGGGTCCGGATGAATCACATCCAAACCCGCCCTACTTGACTTCACCCTTCGTCGGAAAAAAATTAACATATATACAAGTAAAATGATTTACGAAATGATTAAATAATTTATTTTGAATACCCTTAACATAACAAGTTTTATTTCTGAACACCCTTTAAGAAATTTCTGGCTCCGCCACTGGCTCCATCCTCTAAGTAGTATAATTTTTATTCCAAAAAATTAGGGGGAATGGAAGGTGAAATGGAGGAGGGATACCAAAGCGAGCAATTGAACTCTCAAAAATAAGGTAAAAGTTCAGATAATCAAACAATTGAAGTATACTTAGATTCTCCATCTAGGTAGCTCATAGTTCTAAAAATACAAAGAATTCGGTACAAATAACTTAATATTTGAATCTCGTAAAACTTAAATAGATTCTCGTTTGATTCCAAAAGTATTTATATACAGTCAAACTATGCGACATAAATTGAAACGATAGAGTAATTAATAAAGAAACCCCCCACCCCCACCCCCACCCTCTCCACTTTCTTTTTGGTCTACTATACATGAGGCTTTGAGTCTTGATCCATCAAATTGAAAATGATTGTTTAGAGAAACTTCCTAGTATCAACACAACCAATTTAAAGTATATATATTTTGTGTGTATATAAAGTTCAAGTTTTCAATTTAGATGAATGAATCATTATGTGGGGTTAGTTTTATCTCAAAGCCTTCATCCAAAGGCTCTTTACTTTGTTTCTTCTTAGTCAAGTTTTTGCTTGGCAAATAAGCAAAAATCAAAGGCTTTCTTCCCACTAAAACTTAAAGCACATATTGTATATATCATTGCTCTTCTTGTCTTAAAGCACATATTGCATATATCATTGCTCTTCTTGTCTTAAAGCAACATATTTATATTCCTACACACATTCACTCTCACACATTTATAAAACCTCATAAGTTTTCATTCTTGATACTCGAAACTCTCATATCTTAGTTATTATCTTCAACGCGACAATTCTAATCGCCTTCCTTATGGACGCGATCTTCTCTTCGTCTCAAGCTTTGTTGAATGCTCATAGTGGCATTACTAACCATGTTGGATTCATTTGGCAACAAACTAGAACTCCTTTGGTTGTACAATTTCTAAGATTAATTTTATATGTTTGTTTGGCCTTATCATTTATGTTATTTGTTGAGAGACTTTACATGGGAATTGTCATAGCATTTGTAAAGTTGTTTAGAAGAAAACCAGAGAAGAAGTACAAGTGGGAGCCACTTAAAGGCGATTTGGAATTAGGAAATTATTCATATCCTATGGTTTTAGTGCAAATACCAATGTGCAATGAAAAAGAGGTACTCGTAACTGTTTACTTTTTATAGTCGATATACATAAAATATACACATGTTATACATTTTCGGACTAAATTTTTTTTGTTTAAGTGGTTGGATAGACGTCTATTTAGGTTAATTCGTCTATATTATTAACATTGTTAAATTCTTATATGGTGTTTGGTGAATTGTTACTTTGGTAGGTGTATCAATTGTCCATTGGAGCAGCTTGTAACCTTTCATGGCCAGCCAATAGAATTTTCATCCAAGTTCTTGATGATTCTACTGACCCTACAATTAAGGTCCAATACTAAATATGTTCTTTATTCGCGACTACAATCTTACAGACTTCTCTATAACAACATTTCACTGTAAAAACTAACTTTTCTTTGGAACCAATTTCTATGTTATATGTTACATACATTATATATTCTCTATGACTACATTATACGGCTACTACAAAGAGGTTATGTAACCGTTCATAATGAGTGATATTAGTAACTTGTTATAACATGTTAAAATACGCTGATAGTAAAAAAAACGACAGGCGTTGGTGGAGCAAGAGTGCAGGAGATGGGCAAGCAAAGGAGTTAACATTAAGTATGAGATAAGAGATAACAGGAAAGGGTACAAAGCTGGGGCTCTTAGAGAAGGAATGAAGCATAGTTATGTGAAGCTTTGTAGTCATGTAGCCATCTTTGATGCTGATTTTCAACCCGAGCCCGATTTCTTGGAGCGTAGCATCCCGTTTCTGGTGCACAACCCTGAAATCGGACTCGTTCAAGCTCGTTGGGAATTTGGTAAATGTCTTTAATTTATGAAAAATGAAGGGGAGCCACTTGTTGGAAATAGCCTCTTGCAGAAATGCAAGGTAAGGTTACGTACAATAAACCTAATGCGGTCTAGTGTACGAACCTACCTCAAGCTCGAGCTTTGTGCATCGAGTTCAGGGGTGGAGCTATGTACAATGAAGGGGATTCAATTGTCGAAAAATTATACCGAGGTGCTTATTTGGTTTTTGCAGTGAATGCTGAGGAGTGTTTGATGACAAAAATGCAAGAAATGTCATTTGGTTACCATTTCACAGTGGAGCAAGAAGTTGGATCTACAGCTCATGCATTTTTTGGCTTCAATGGTAGGCTATTCACACCCGAAAATAATTTTACGATATTAGTATTGTTGTTACCGAGGACATAACCCTAGATAGGAAGGTATGAAAGGCGAAGATAAGTAGGTTTGAGCGTTGTCTAGTTCTTCCTACTACTATCTTAGTCTTCGATTTTATTACCTCTTGTTTAATTTCCTTTGCTTCACGTACGTCTTGTTTCTTCATTACTGTATTTTCTTTTCATACTTCTTGCGTCAGGATAGACTGCCTATATCACACCGTCCAAAGGTACAACTTTTCCCTAGATCATGTGTGAACACGGGATGCTTCGTACACCAGACTGTCTTTTTTACTTTCAACTCTAATGCAATACGAAGTTCCCACATAACTATAGAATTGCTGCAGGCACTGCTGGAGTTTGGAGAATGTCAGCTCTTATTGAGGCAGGGGGATGGAAAGACAGAACAACTGTGGAAGACATGGATCTAGCAGTACGAGCCGGTTTAAATGGCTGGAAATTCGTCTATGTTGATGACCTTAAGGTACACAATCACACGTATACCGATTTAAGGATTTAAGTTATATAAACTGACGTTTGCAAAGAAAACACAATACAAGTATCAACACAGTTTAACTTATTGTGAAAACTACAGTATTTGGAAAGACAAAATGATTGGAATTTAAACTTGAAGTTGAAGGATAGACTAACAAAAGTCAGGGGATGTTCTTTTGTCTCACATCAATAGGAAGAATATTTTTCATGATAATGGAAATGAAATGATGGTTTTACTATTCTACATATATTGCTCGAGCTCTTCAAAAATGACTATGACTACCTGTTTGATCATCCAAAAGTAGTGCATATTTGCAACAACATTTTAGGAGAATCTGACAAACATTAGTACTATACAACAACATATCCAGTGTAACTCCACAAGTGGGATCTGAGGAGGGTAGTGTGTACACAGATCGTCTTATCTCTACTTTTTTTACCGTGTTAGGTGAAAAGTGAATTGCCAAGCACGTTTAGGGCCTATCGCAATCAGCAACACAGATGGTCTTGTGGACCTGCTAATCTTTTCAGAAAAATGGCAATGGAAATTGCAACTAACAAGGTATGCTATATGAAATTCACTTAAAACATGACAAAAATGGGGAAAAAATTGAAAACAAGTTGTTTTTGTCATTGCAGAAAGTTTCTGTATGGAAGAAATTTTACCTGATTTACAGCTTCTTCTTTGTACGAAAGATCATAGCACACGTCGTGACATTCATCTTATATTGTGTTGTTATTCCTGCAACGATTTTCATCCCTGAAGTTCAAGTACCTCGATGGGGAACTATATACATTCCTACAGCTATCACTGTTCTCAATATACTTGGCTCCGCAAGGTAGAGCAAAGAAAAAAGAAAAGATAATTTTAACATGTATTAACATGAATTTTTCGTTATTTATGTGTGTGAGTTTATTCAGATCAATGCAACTGGTGGTATATTGGATCCTGTTTGAGAATGTAATGTCCCTTCATCGGACAAAGGCAATGCTCATTGGTCTTTTTGAATCGGAGAGAGTGAATGAATGGATAGTAACAGAGAAACTCGGAGATGCTCTTAAGACCAAAAAGGGCTCAAAAGCACTGAAGAGACTTCAGTTTCGAGTTGGAGAGAGGTAAAAGCTTCTCCAAATCTTTATGAGTGAAACATAGTTTTGGTAGAACTAAATTGTTTTACTGTTTAATATGGCCAGGGTACATGTTCTTGAGCTTTTCGTTGGGTTGTACCTGCTGTTTTGTGGGTGGTACGACTACTCGTTTGGAAGGAACAAGTTCTATGTATACCTCTTACTCCAAGCTATGGCGTTTTTCGTTGTTGGTTTTGGTTATGTTGGTGTTTTTGTTCATGAATAGTAGCTTGATATTCTTTTATACCACAATGTGTATAAGCAACTAAGATCATGCTTTACTTGTATTTGTTTTTTGTTTTTTTGGTTCTTTTTCATTATTTGTGAATGAGCAAGGCATAAGAGAATTCTATAATTGATTAATTTCATAGACAAACCACAGTCGACTATATATTTGTAGTAAAAAATTCACTGAATATTCATAAAAATATAGAATTGTGAACGCACTTTTTATTGTATATATTAGCTTGAAGTTAGAGCCAAAACCCATAAGCTTCAAAGCCTGAATTCGCTTATAAAGAGTTTATTGTCTGTCTATTCATTCGTACATTTGTTTGGTAAAAAGAAATCCAAGGTCCTACGATAAACGTATTCACGAAATCAACATTCATGCAGCCACCTAAGCAAAGATATTATTTTTGGTTTCCCACCCGGTACCCGGTGTCTAGTAACCCCGACTAGATCCGGACTCATACGAGAGTCCAACATTAGAAAGTAAAGTACTTTGTCATAGGGCTCAAGCGTAAAACCTCTAGCAGTAGAATTAAAACGTCTGCAATTTCAAATATGATGAATGCATATTTCAAACATCATGTTTTTGGGACCTATCCAATTTCTCCAGACATTTTTATCAGTAAAATGCAGAAAAACATATTTCAACAACATAAACTGCATCTTAGGAGGATTTGGATTAATCTATTGAAGAAAATCAAAGGCCTCTAAATGATTCAATTCATGGAAGTCATGAGAAACTGCTGGACGCAAATGCGAAAGAGATAACAGATGGCACTCATGCCAATCCAGAAACACAAGCTTAACTGAGATTTCGAGAAGTCACGTACAGGCAGTGATGAAGCCAGGAATTCTAACAAGGAAACTCGAAAAATGTAAAACATCACGAGTAGTAAGATTTGAAATTGTAAACTAGAACAACCTCTATCAGTACACAAGAATCCTCTCTTATGTCAAAGAAATTCAAACAGTTTATATATAAGCAAAAAGAAGACATTTTTCCCTAGACAGTATTATCTACTGATAAAGGGGATTCAGTTGACCACCTCGCGTCCACCTAAATCTGCTACTGGATATTGGAAGCTCACAGAGGCTATAGACTAAACACAAGGGAACTATCCGGGAGAAGTTCGTTCAACAGAGAAGTTTAACTAGACAACAGCTTCCCCCCGGAACGAAGTCCCAAATCTAATGTAAGCAGATACAGACTGCACAAACATATCTGCAATCCATTCCAGTGAATAACTTGACAACCACACATTCAGTAACAACATTTAGAGGGTTCAGTGTCAAATTTCCGTTGCTGCACATTATTAATAAATCAATATTCAGACTGGACCTATTCAGACACCAAAAAACAAACCTGGAAACATCTGAACAAAACTACATCCAGAATTATCTGGTAATAAACAAATACGGAGGAATCATGCTATTTGCTTCGACTAATTTCCTGAACAAGGCAACAGAGAATCTACAAAATTGAAACAAGCTCACTATTTTAGAGAAAAGATCATCTCAACAAATTGACTGGACCTGAAAGAAGATGTTTTGTTAACTGGATAGCTGAACTTCTTATCAATTTGATCGTCGTTGCGAACTACCTTTTATGAAAATTTAAAACCAAGACTACGTCTCTAAGGGCATCATACCCTACATTTATTCTTCTAACTTTTGGTGAATCTTCTCTGGAATTGTCTCCAAAATGTCATAGTGACCATAACCATGAAACAATACGTTAATCGGACTCTCTCCCTCCTTCCTATATTCTTCTCCATAATTTGATATGTTTATTAAACTTCCAGAGCTTCTATCTACCATATAGACAGAAATCGCAGACCTGCAACCAAAAATTAGGAAATATTAACAAAATTGGACAATAGATTCTAGAATTGAAGCCTTAACCAAGCATCATCCAGAGATCACATAGTACATTGACAAAGTAGTTCCATATGTTATCCTAGTAATTCTTGGAAAAGCAGTTCTCCTACTTAATTTGACTTGAAAGTGACAAAGTGAAAGTGAATGTCGATGGATATATAACTAATAATTCCTAAACACATATGAAGGACCAATTCTTTCATCAGCATACAACAGAAACGATCTTGTCAAGTGCATAAACTATGCCACTTCATGCTATGTTGTATTACTAACTTAGCTGAGAATCACACTAAAATGTTCTTTAAACTCTCTCTTCTCAAACAAAAGTTTATTTCTTTTCTTCATCTTTTTCTCATTTCAGCATTACTGTTTCTCATCGTGAAGTTCAAAACATCAACGCCTCAACAAACATTTATAGTTGCAGTTGGATTCATAAGTGCAAAGTGACAAAATGATCAATCATGAAACAGAAACATCACTCACTTGAGAACATGAGAAGCCATTAGTAGCTCTGGTTCTCCTCCCCACACATATGGCTTTTCAATTCTTTCTACGTACGCATCAAAATCCCCTTCAATAAACCTATGTAACATAAAACAACACATATTCATATTCATAAACATATAACAACTGAATATCGAGAGGAACCGAGTACTATAGAAGTAAACAACATATACCATTCAGCTTCTTTTCGCCTCTTTAACAGCTCGTCAACCACCTGTGCACATGAAAAAATAAAATAATTTCCGATATCCATATTTTTAATACACACAGCGAACTGCAAGAAAATGAAGGTACCTGAGCTCTTAATTCATCAGCAAGTTCTCTCTGTCGATTTTCATCCGGAGCTTCCTCCCCATTTCTCAAACAAGCCATATGTGCTATCGCTCTAAATAGACATCTCCCATCCGCTGGAACCCCTGTTACATTCACCATTCAATTTGTCAATTCATCAAGCAACTTGCAATCTTAATCGCCTAGAAAAACTTAACCAAATCCCAAATTTGTTCTTCAATTCAATTCTAATAACCCACTCCTCTATCAATCAAATACCAAATCATGTTATACCAAACTAGTTCCTCAATTCAATTTATATAATCCACTCTTCAATCAATCAAATCCCGAATTTCATTATTCCAAATTAGTTCCTCAATTCTACTTCACTTGTATCCATTTTTTCACAGGACTACAACAACAACAACAACAATATCCAGTGTAATTCCACTAGTATTGTCAAAGGAGGCTAAACTGTACACAGACCTTACCCCTACTTCTACCTCGGGAGGAAGGTAGATAGACTGTTTTCAATAGACTTTGCACAGAGAATAATGAGTACAAAATAACTTCAACAATTAAAACAGTATAATAGATATACCAGTGACTCTATAGTTGGCAGAGTTTTGATCATCCTCATCTGAAGAATTTACAGCAGACTGTTTATCAATCGGTACAGCTACATCAGAATTAGCATCTGGTAATAGATCAAGAGATGGCGCAGCTAAACATGAACAAACTCCAAACAACAACCAAGCAGAATCAGGATTATGTAACCATCTCGCCGGCCTAGAATCCCAATTGACATTCCACGAACCTTCACCTTTCTTAGCAAGCTCATAATGATGTTTAAACACCGTATTATTCCTCCGATTTATATCCTTCTTATTCCTCCTCCCAGCAGGAAGTATCGCATGCCATATCGACGCTGCACCACCAACTCGATTTACAGATGATGCAATACGGCAATGACTCGAATGATTCCGCCTCTGATCTACTCCTATTCCACCTCCTCCACCACCTCCACCTCCAGATATTAACAATAACGATGATTTGTTAGCAGTATTCGTCGGAATAAGTCTGCTATAACCCGAAGGCGTTGAGCCGTGGGCGTGTGATAAGCAGAGTGATGCGAATAGCCAAGGCTTAGGACGTGCACACAATACTCCGAGCATCACCGGAACTTTTTTTTCTTCAGATTTTCGTATTGAACAAGAAATTAGTATGAGCTAAATTGCGCATTTCTCATAGCTTTTTTGCAGTTATATTATGGATGATGAAGATGAAGATGATGATGAAAATGCATTTTGTTCAGTGGTGACGGCGAAAACTAAACCAACTTTTTTTAGTGAGAGAAATGAGGGATTTTTAGTGAGAGAAAGTTTTTGGGTGGGACCTATTTAACCATGAGGTATGTGCTCACCTATTTATGATTTCACATTGTTCTATTTCGCCGTGCACGATTCTAAATTAATAGTTCCATAGAGTTTATAAAAATTAATTAAATTTATTTTTTATTTTTTGAACATTATAAATTGTTAATTATGATAATTTTATGAAAAAAATAAAATTTTAATATTTGGATTCGATTTATTAATAAAATTTAAAAGTTTAAAATTTTAATTACGATACATCAATTGAAATAAAGAGTGATGCGAAGCTAGTAATGTTGAAATTAATTTTAATTTGTTGTTTAGTAATGTTTAGATTAGTTTATATTTGTTATTTGATTTGATAAATTAAAAATAATGCACATTCTTTAGGATATTCGAAGGATTTGAAGGGTGATATTGAAATTTGCTACAAAAATAGTATTAAACAAAGTCTAAAACTAATATAGTACTATATATTATTAATCTATTATTTTCTTCAATATATTTATCCAACCATTGATTAACACGTTATTTGGATAGTTGTTACTCGTTATATTGTTGGTGAAATATATCATATGGTGTAAATTCATTATTAGATAGTGATAAAAAAATTTATTATAACAATCAATTTAATGTCATAGTGTCGTCACTTTAATATTTTTTTCTCATTTTATCTTTACTTATTATTTAACAAAAAAATTACTTATCCTACCTTTTCATTGTACTAACAACAGAAAATAATATAATTTATCTAAATATTATATTATTTAAAATATATACGATACAATACTATAATGCAATATAATATGATACATAATAACAACAATCAAAACAAATCGTAAAGGGTAAGTTAGTCATATAAGGAAAAGTAGTTGGGCTCTAAGAGGTGCTTAACGAATATTCTCATAGGGAAATTTCATGCAGCTTCCAATAATTTAATTACACGTTGCTTGAAACTATTTTTTGTTACGATATATTGTTTATTATTATTTAAAACATAAAATAGTTCAAGAAAATAACACTTAACTCACTTTTTTAATTAAAAAATAAAAATGTCATTATTTTTTTAACGTTTAGTGACACATTTTATTAGTTCTTTTGGAATCAATAGAATAACTCAATCACTATATCTTTTTATATCTTTTTGTGTGGCCTAAAGGGTCATCGATGCAAATAGATGTAGAACAAAATATAAGTTATTCTCCATTATTTTTATATAATATTTCACTATAGTCCTTTGAGATATTCGATAAAATTGAAATGAACATGATTTTATATGTAAAGAATGAATATAAATTAAGAAATTGTTTAAATTTTAGATCAATAAGGATTATGATATAATAGTGACTGTTTAATTCTTGTTCAGATATTTCGAATCTGAACCTAAATATGAAAAAATTATATTAAAAATATCATTCCTGAATAAGTCTATCATGCACTATTCAAATTAAATAAGATTTTCGATGCAAATAAAAATTAAACATGAATCATATATTAAATAGGTTTTACTTGGTAAAAATATTAAGTGATAATGGAGAATGAATTTGATAAGAAACTCCAAAATTTTAAAATTTGAATAATTTTAAAAAATTAAAAATCTTCAAGTATTGTAAAAAGTGTTAAAAGGGAATGGTCAAATATTTGCCAATTTGAGATGGAAGATGCAGTACTTTTGAATTTGTCATTATTTGTTTCTTAATTTTCATGATAATATACCAAATGTCATTTAATACGGGATGGACACTAAGATTTAAATATCAAGTCAAATTAATTATTTTAATATCGTATTTTATATATATTAGTAAAAATAAAAGATCAAAAGAAAAAACAGATTAAATAGAAAAATTTAACGTTCATTTCTATATGTATAGTTCTAATTCACCTTTTTAAATAGATTTTAATTTGAATGATTTAAACATTACTCCAATTATTAAAATTATGTTGTATGTATGTATATATAAATTAAATATGTAAGATCAATTTTTTCAATTATTTTTTCTTCTATCTTGGCCTTTCATGCCACAGAAAATAAAAAACGTTTTTAGTTTTTAAAAAATTAGAAGTCAATAATTGATCCTTAGGCAAAGATCAAGAATCCTCCAGAAGTTTTAAAATAAATTGAACAACGTGACACTTGACGTAAGACTTTGAATATATATTTTTTATTAAGAAAAAGTGGTTAAAATTTGTTATGTACTTACTTTTTATTTGAAAATATTCATTTTGTGTAACAAAAATAATTATACACCTTTTTATTGCCAATTATTTGATTTATAGTATTCGTAGAAACATGTGGAAATATTTTGTTGAGTCTTCTTAACTTTTATTTATAATCAGCTTATCGACTTATTATATATATGATTTCAGTTACACTTTTTTGTAAGTAAATCTTGATCAGTCAAGTTGATCTTGTTTGTCTTTTGATTATATAATTTATAATGTTGCAATCTCATCGATCTAGTTATCTTATTTCAATAATCGAGTGATATGGCCTTGTCAGCCTTCATCATTCTCTTTCTATTATGTTTTAATGACGAGCTCAATCGAATAAGGTATCACATATTGATAACGTCATTCTAATTTTAAAACGTACCATAAATTAAATTTAAAAACTCAAAGTAATTTTGATATTCATTATACTTTTTATCTAAAGTAAATCCTCATTTTTTACTCTAATTTTTTATCAAATTTAAATTATAGTAAAAATTGCAAGGTAAATTTTAATATATATTTTTTTTCTCAATTGGACATGTTAATTCATCTTGGACCTAAATTTACGACTGGAACAGAATGGAACGATTTACTGATAATAAGAATATAACTTCTTTTAAAGTAAAACAATAAATAAAATAAAATTATTTTGAGTAGTACAATAATAATTTTGAGTCTTTTCATTTACTAACATCGTAAATAATCAATAATAATAATAATAATAATAATTAATAAGTCTGACTTTCTATAAGTGAATATACTAAATAAAATACAAAAAAAAGAGATTATTCAATGGTGTAGAAAGTTTGAGCGTGGACAATTAATAACAGCTAAATTTGCTTAACAAATATCGGTAGCAATTCAAGTTATTAAAAAAAAAATGTAGGTCCAAATCATACAAAGGGAAAATGATTGACGTTGACAAGGATCAAAAAAAAAACGAAACAATAAATGAATTTATTTTTTTAATTAAAAATTTTAATTTTGACTTATGAATATATAAAAATCAATAAAATACGCTTTCTTATGGCTAAAAAAAATTTACCACCAATTAGTAAATTTGGAAAATTGAAGATAGCTAGGGACTTATGGGTAGTAATGGATTGTTGTATGATGTTTTTATTTTTTTAGAGTAAAAACTTAATTAGAATTGATCGACCAGCTATTCTAAAAGAAAATTTGAACTTGATGCAAATGATTAAAATATAATCTATTTTACGTGATTATTTATTAAATAAAAAAATTATGTAAAATTTTAAATTAATTATATTTTAATACAAATATAGAAAATCAAATAAAACATAAAAATAAAACTAAAAAGTTGGTGTTATCAAAGATGTGGGAGCATGAAATGAGATTATTTCCCCCTAATCAATGATTTTGATTTTAAGTGAGAAATATATATTATTTTTTTATAGAAGATAATTTTCTTTAATAGACTCTACATATATATCATAAATTTAAATAATTTTATGTTTTAATATTAAATATGGAATGTTGAATAGGAAATAAAAATAAAAATTGATGTTGACAAAGATATTGTTCCAAATATTACTTGGCAAGATTCAATACCTTCACTATGAGGTTGCTAAATGCTACTTTTTTCTCTTATTAATATTTTTTTCTGTCTTAAATTAGTTGTTAAATTATTTTATAAGTTACTCAAAAATTACTAACTAAAAGGATTTTAAATTAATTTAAAATTTTTGTTTATATTTTAACTATATAATTCCACTTTATTGAATATTAGATTAAGAAATTTGTAAAATTTAAGAACAATTACAATTAAGAATAAAAAAGGAAAATAACTAATTTGTCTTGAACTTTAAAAATAACAATAATTAAATATAACTATTTTTAGAAATCATAATACACAAATTGAGACGAAGGGAGTCAAACTTTAAAATTTTCTTATTATCGAAATTTGTTATTTGTATTTGGCTAATTATTTTTTAAAAGAGTTTTTTCTTTTTTGTTGATATTAGAAAACTAATGTGTATAATTGTGTTTCATCAAGATTTCAAAAACACTTTTAATGAAAACCTAAAAATTGTTTTTAGGTTAGCACATAGAAATATATATTTTTCTCAAAAAAAAAAATTGATTAAATACCTCAATTTTATTTAAAAAAAATAAACATCATTATAACAGAAAAAATAAATTTGACTTCTTAAAAGTTTTGTCAAGCAAAATACGGTTCATATTCGCAATGCATTTGACTTTAATTTATTTAAAAGAGAAATGTTCTCTGAATAAACTATTTATTCAATAGCTTATATTTAAGAGAAACTTTCACATATATAGCAAACAGAAAAAGTATATTTATACATTGAAAATAAATATATATATTTCACATATACAAATGAAAGTATCAATTGTATAATTTGTTATGTATCAAGCGAGAAAGAAAGAAAGACAAAAGAAAACTAAGCAGAGGAAAATCATATTTACATAATTATAAGTGTATTAGGTGAAAATATATACATTTGTATTTGTATATACAATATTCTCTTGCTTTATACAAACACAAACACAATGCATAAATTTGTTTTGTATAAAGTGAGAGAGGCGACTGAGAGTGGATAGCGAAATTTGAGATAGGGAAGACAAGGGTATGAAAATATATGTAATTTGTCTTTGCTTTATTACAAACACAAATGCATTTTATACATTTGTGTTTATATAAAAGCGAGAGAGGCGAGCGAGACTGCCAAAGTGACGAGCGAGATTCCACCAGGGAGATAGGCGGAAATAGCATAGTTTGCTATGGGTGCAATTACATCAAACTATGTTTATAGTATTTAATTTGAACTAATAGTTTGTTA